AAGACTTTATGAACAAATCCTCAGTAGCATGGGAACTAGCACAAAGACAACAGGAATCTCATCTTTTTAAAAATCTTCTGCACTGCAAGAGAAACCACAAGCAGAGCTAAGAGACAACCTACAATGTGGGAAACAATTTTTACCAGCTGTACCTCAGACAAAGGTCTATTATCTAGAATATATAAAGAACTCAAAAAAATGAGACCCCCAAAATATAAAGACCCCATTCAAAAATGGGCATCTGAAATGAACAGACATTTCTCAGACAAAGAAGTTAAAGCAGCAAGTAAATATATGAAAACATGTTCCACATCAGTGGTCATTTGAGAGATGCAGATGAAAACAACACTGAGATTCCACCTCACCCCACAAAGAATGACTGCTATCAAGAAATCACACAATAACAAATGTTGGTGGGGTTGTGGGGAGAAAGGAACCCTTCTCCATTGTTGGTGGGAGTGCAGACTGGTGCAACCACTATGGAAATCAATATGGAGATACCTCAAAGAGCTGGGACTAGAGATTCCATTTGGCCCAGCCATCCCTCTGCTGGGTATCTTTCCAAAAGAATTAAAATAATCATACCACAGTGATATATGCACACCCATGTTTATAGGGGAACAGTTTGTAATAGCTAAATCTTGGAAACAGCCCATCTGCCCATCTGTTGGAAACTGGATAAAGAAGATGTGGTTTTTCTATAAAATGGAATACTACTCAGCCATAAAGAATGAGAAATTAGATTCATTCATAGGAAAATGGATACATATTGAGGATATACTCCTAAGTGAAATAAGTCACACATGTGTAAATACTGAATAGTTTCTCTGGTGTGAAAAAGTATAATAGTACACAAGATCCTAATTAATAGTGTGAAATAGGAAGAAAAGGGCTTGTGTAGGGAAAGTGGGGAAGGTAGGGGAAAGGTAATAAGGGAAAAGAAAAAAATGAGAAAGTGAAAAAATGGAAATAAAGCATTTGTAAATGGGGAGGGGAGGAGGGGGTGAAGGGAGGGCAGGGACAAGGAGAAAAAATGAGAACCAAGACCTGTCATGTGAAGGTACAGGATCCCAGTAATGGATGTAACTGTACTGTATACCTAAAATATACCAATAAACTCAATAAAAAGAAACCAGTATATATATATATATACATACATACATACATACATATACATACATACATACATACACTCACCCACTTTATAGCAGCACAGTTTGTAATAAGGTAAATTTTGGAAACAGCCTAATTGCCCATCAACTGGAGACTGGATAAAGAAGATGTGGGGTTTTTGTTTTGTTTTGTGTTTTTAATAAAATGGAGTAGCCGGGCATTTACCTCAGTGGTTCTACCACCTGCCTCGCAAGTGCAAGGACCTGAGTTCAATCCCTGATACCAAAAAAAAAAAAGTACTACTGAGCCATAAAGAATGAGAAAGCAGAGAGATTTGTAGCTAAGTGGATGCACATTGAGGCCATACTTTTAAGTGAAATTAATAGGACACACATGTACTGAATCATTTTACTGGTGTGAGAAAGTCAGGTAAATAAGGATTAAAATGTATAATTGATATTGGGTACTGGTGTGAAAAAGTCAGGTAAATAAGGATTAAAATGTATAATTGATATTGTGTAATAGGAAGAAAAATCTAAAAGAGTAGGCAAATGGGAGGGGTAGGGGAAAGGTAAGAAAGGAAAAGAAAAAATATGTGAAAAGGAAAAACATGGAAACAATGTCTTTGTAAACAGGGAAGGGTGGAGGGACTGAAGGGAGGGCTGGGAAATGGGAAAAAATAAGAACTAGATAAGTCATGTATAGGTACAAGATCCCAATGATGAATGTAACTATTGTATACCTAAAATGTACCAATAAACTTAAGAAAGATAAAAAAATATAGAAAAACTGGATAGAACCACGTCTGCCCATCAGTCGAGATGGAAGAAGCAGGAACTCAGAATATGAATACCAAGAGTGTTCAACGAAGTTTCTTAAGAAAACATCCTAGTCTCAGAATGATCTGTTTGTTCTGACATGACTTCACCCTGCTGGCTTTCTTTGCATGAGATAGCCTCACAGAGATACTATTGAAAGCTAGCAGCACGAAAGCCAACATTTTTAATTACAAAGTTTAAATTTTAAAGGTAGTCAAGAACAGCTTAAACAAAATTTATAAGTACTGGGAGGACCAAGAAGGAGGCGAGAGGGACTGAAATACATCTATATTTTTCATAAATATAATAACTTCCCGCTTAGAAAATAATTATTATCTAATATGGCAAAGCAACAAGGTAGAAGCAAATTTTGTCATATGTCACTCAAGGGTGGGGTGTATTCTGAGACATGTGTCATTAGTTGGTTTGGTTGTGTAAGCACCACTGAGAGCACTTACAAAATGGAGCTGCACCCGGGGCTCTCTGATGTCACCTGCTGTTTTGTGTGGTGTGTGTCAGTCATGCTGACCAGAATATCATTGTGTGGTTCATGTATTCATAGGTAGATATGGTGATAAGCATGAGAAGAATTAGGATTGAAAATAACTTTTATTTTTTATTTTTGGTACTGGGGATTGAACTCAGGACCTTGCATTTTTTGAGGCAGGTGGCAGAACCTCTGAGCTAAAATCCCTGGCCCTGAGAACAATTTTTTAAAAATGGGTTCTTCTGGTGTAGAAGCACAGAGGAGAAGGCTGTTATCCACTATCAACACTGTGGACTTTGGGATTTTTGTTTGGTTTTTACCATGTGCATATTATTTTGATAAATCTAGTTAGACATGAGAGCCCAGGTTGTATCATGCTAATGTATTCAATTTAACAATCTTTTCTTTTTGTGTGTGGTACTAGCGATTGAACCCAGGGCCTCACACAGAGTAGGCAAATGCTCTATCACTGACCTATAACCTCCTCATCCTTTTCTTTTGTTTTGTTTTGTTTTGGTTACTGGGGATCAAACTCAGGACTTGCACTTGAGGGGCAGGCAGCAGAACCACTGAGCTAAATCCCCACCATCACCCCCCTCTTTTTGGTAGCAGGGATAGAACTCAGGACCTTGTGCTTTTGAGCAGGTGTCAGCACTGCTGAGCTAAATTCCTGGTCCCCCAACCCTTTTAAAGAAAAAAAAAATTTTTTTTTTAATTCAAGGCAGGTTCTCACTAAATTGTCCAAGCTGCCTCTGAAATTGTGATGCTTCTGCCTCGGTCTCCCCAGTAGCTGGAATTACAGGTGTGCACCACATGCCCAGCAAAGAATTGCTTTCTGAGTTTGTGGTGTAATGAATAGCCCAAGGATTATACCTACAGTCTGCCTTATCTATGGGACAGCTGACGGTGACCACTGTTTCAAAAGTACCATCAGGAGTTAAAGCCCTGTCACTGACTAAATACTATAGAACTTCTCAACTGTGATTTTCTAATTACTTCTATTTCCTTTTTCACTTTATTTATGGGTACATTTTAATCACAAACAAGGTAAGTTTACAGTTACATTGTACGTGTACAAGCGGGAAGTTATGAGTATTCCTATTCAGTAGTTTGAAAAGCATCTAATATTAAAAGGACACTAATTAACGATAAAAGTGAAATTTCAATAAGCACTCATATATTCATAACACTGACTTAAAATCTATATATTTTAGGCTAGCAGCTCCCCACTTCTTTCTTTGTTGTAGTTCTGGTGATGAAATCCAGGGCCTAGCACATGTTAGGCAAGCACTCTGCCACTGAGCTACCTCTCCAGTGCTTGGTGGACCTAGGGCTATTTCTTGAACAATAATGTAAAGTTTTTTGTTTGTTTCACTTGCTGTCTTGCTCTTATTTTATAAACATTACTTCAAGTGAATATCTGGAAAAAAAACCAAGATTCATCTTTTTTTAAGATTCATGTAGCTTATTTAAAAACTGGCTTTATTTTTTTTTTCTGGTAAAATTATAATCCCTGAGATCTTTATCTTACATTATCATCTTGTTCAAAAAGTGTTTATTAAGGCCTTTTCTTTCAAACTCAGTAAATGTTATTTTTCTATATATTCAAAGTTATTTTTCTTAGAAATACCTTCCTTAAAAGTATTTCCATGCATACTATCTGCTAAATATTTTAGAGTATAAAAAATGTTAACAATATCTGTTCGAAAGAGTCTTACAAGATTTTTGAGGTTTTATGTCACACAACATTGTTTTACAAAAAAGCCTATTATATTGAATCATATTAATACTATGTGATATCATTACAATAGGACCAGATGGGCCTAGAACGAAAAGTCAAAAGCAGTTATTCATATATAACATATACCTGGAAGTCACTGTCCTGTCAGAGGTATCTGTGTAACTGGATGAAGTCTGTCCACTCATCCTACATGTCCTGGATGCCTGCTTCGCTAGGCCCTGTGCTAGGTTCTGTGCACACAAAGATGGACAGGGGCAGTTCCTTCCCTGGCAGCTACTCACGGCCTAGTGGAGACAGCTGCCAGTGAGTGGAATTATAGAATAATGTGACCTAGACTTGCATAGATGCACATTTTCTTTCCTTCTCACTCCTTTCTTTTCACTCCTAAAGTGCTGGGTGTGCTCAGTGATGGTGCACAGGCCCTGGGTGAGGTGGGAGGTACAAGCCCAACCGAGGGAAAGGGTAGACAGGGAGCAGGAAAGGGACCCCTGAATTTCTGCTGGGAAGAATCGACATGGACTGAAAGGAAACTCAGTGGGTAATAAAAGAAAACTTATCAGTTCATGACTGGCTAAGATGAGGTTGTCTGCTACTTTCTTAGGCATTTGGGGCCTAAGTGACTGCCATTACGGGGGTGGAGGCATCTCAGTCTCTCAAGTGGGGACTCATAAGATGAGAAAAGGACAACTCAGGGAACACGACAGATGTGGAAGACTGGTAGAAACAGGAGTGGTATCTGGGGCCTGCAAATTGTTTAGTAAGGCTCAGGCACAGGCCGTGAGTCCAAAGATGCTGACTGTATAATAGTACACGATTATACAGTTACCACGATCGTTCTCACCTTGAACAGACTCGGGGTCAGGAAGAATAACTCAGTGTTGAGCAAAAGAATCTCCTTCTGAGGACGAGTTAAAAAAGAAAGGGGGGGCTGTGTGGCCCTCCTCAGGGAGACAGGCTACAGGGGAGAGAGATTTGTAATATTCATCTTCCCCATCCAGCACTTTGATTTGGCTGCAATGAAGAAAAGAAGAGAATTTGCAACAGAAAAAGGAAACAAATGCTACATCACAGAGACAGCAAAAGTTGTGTAAGTCGCTGGAAGAGGGTTGGGTCCCAAGACCGGAGGGAAGGACAGCTTAGGGAGCTTAGGGCCTCCCAGTATAGAGGTAGTAGGGTCTTGTTCATGTGGCCTTTCACCTGTGAGTCACACGATGGTAATGGACCCACCTCCCTAGTGTCTGGAAGCTGTGGTTATACTGCAACTTGATTTACGTGATTACATTGTCTGGCTTCCTCTGGATGAGAAAGGAACTTTCCTGTCCTCCCCCAATTCTCAAACTAGTACCAGTTATCTACTTCATTGTTATTCTCAACTGAGGTGCTACCAATCAAAGAGCCACAAAAATCTTTACTTTCCTCTTTCACCATCGGGGGAAGCCTTCTTTTGTGCATGTTATAGGCACAGGGTATAAGAGTGTGGAAGAAATGGGCGTAATTTGCACTTTATGGAATGCTGTTATTTGTGGGAGATTTTTATACAACTCTCTCTATGTCTTCCATTATGAAGAAAGTAAATTTCCCTAGAATAATTATGAGGAATAACATTTGCCCCTTAAGTGACAATTTCAGCTTTTCTGGATGAAACAGACTTGAGTTTTGTATCCTTGCTAATGTGAAAGGTAGTTTCCAATGTCAATAACGGTGGCAATATCCAGGTTGAATAATTTTAGAAGCCTCTCTGGAAATTTTTGCATTTTCTATAATATCACAAAGGACCCCTTCTGTTTACAGTTGCTTAGCACTAAGAAGACAGATATTTACCCAAGTTTTCTTGGCTTCCTCTTGCTCCCTTGATATTCTAGAGTTCCCTGTGGAGAGGCCCAAGAACACACAGTCAAAGCAAAGCAGCAAGTCGTTAATTTTTAATTCAAAGTGATTTTGTGTTGAATGCAAGCAGATGCTGATAATATCAGAAGTCACAGCATAATTTTTTTGATCAAAGGGCTCAAGTGAGCCTGATGAAGCATGCATCTTGCTCGTCTTTGATAAACCACATCAATTATTCACCGTGAAGGCAGACATCCTGACATGAAAGCAACAGATAAAGAGCCTAAGCACATGTTCACGAGAGAGCATAAGAGAGTGGGGGTGAGGCTGGAGGGGCTGGAACAGGTATTAATAACAGAATTATTAACTGGAAACAAAGCCAATGAAACAGCTTTATGGCCACTTTGAACTCACATTTAACTGGTTATAGTACATGGTGTCCTCAGGGCTACTCAGCATTTTGGGCTGCTGACATCGTCGGCGAGGTGTCCGATGCTTCTGTGCAAGACCATCTTCTGAATCTGCAACCAGACAGCAAAACCTCACTGTAAGTTGTTCCAGGTGGGAAAATGAAGTGAAAAATGACTCTTCACGAAAATGCACCAGGAAAACTCCCGTTTTGATGCACATGGTAGAAAAATTACTAAATACTACGAGAAATGTCATCCTAAAAACATACAAACACAGGAACAGCTAAGTTAAACAAGGCTGCCATCTGTAACTGTGCCTTCATCGCTCTAATCTGAATTGGCAATCCAGAATGACGAGGAACAAATTGGATTGCCCGCATCGGGTAGGTGCAGGGTGGAGGTCAGCTTTTCCAGAGTAGAGTGCCTTTAGCGGGGAAACTGTTAGGACGACCAAGGCAATCTGGGATCATGTGCGCCACACCCTACAGCAAGAGTTCAAAGACATCTGGAGCACACATACTCTTGGGAGATGAGGTCTTTTGGTGGGACACACTATGGGGGAAAACAGCTCAGGATGGTATGTACTAAAATACTTTAAACAACACCACTGAATATGCACTCACTGGAGGTGGCTAAAGGAGCCGAAAGGATAATGGCATGATCCCATGCAGCAGACTCTATCTTTCAGTCTTTTTTTTGTGCAGCACCGAGGATTGAACTTTGTACCTTGTGCTTGAGAAGCAGGTGTGGCACCACTAAGATAAATCTCCAGCCTTCTTTCAGTTTTGATTTCAGAACTCTGGTCCAAAAGTACATTGGAAATGAAGAAGCCACATGTCAGATGAAGTCATAATTCATTTTCTTTAAGAAAATGATTTCCATGGAATGTACTGTTTTTTGGCTGTCTATCTGAAGCAGGATTCAGCAGTCCTAACTTTTCCAAAACAAACACGTCACATGCTCACACACACAGTGATACACAGAATCTTGTCTATGAATGTCATAAAATAGAGGAAAAGGTCTTTTCTAGATAGGGTTTTTGTGATAAACTATTCATAAAAAAGTTGGAGATTTGTACATGAAGTCATTCTTGAACTTTATATTTCCATTATTGTAGGATAGTCTGGGGAAATTTTTTGCTTCATGATTGTATATTCGTTTAAAAAAATTTAATTAACTGACACATAAAGATTTGCATATTCATGGGGTACTACATGATTTTTTTCCCTCTTTGTATATATTGTGTAATGTTTAAATCAGGTCAGACATATCTCCTCAAACATGTATCATTTCTTTATGGTGAAAAACACTGAAACTTTTTCCTAGCTTTTGAAATGTACAGGTTACTGATCTGTACAGTCATCCTCCCATGCAAAAACACACCACACTATCTCCAGCCTATCTAACCGTAACTTGGCAGCACCCACTGATCAGACTCTGCCTTTCTTCCTCCTCCTATTCTCCCCAGCCACTGTTAAGTCCCTTCTACTCTCAATTTCTATGAGATGAACATTTTTATATTCTACATATGAGTGAGTCCATACAGCTTTCGTGGCTTATTTCACTTAGCATGATGACCCCCATTTCCATCTGTGTTGTTGCAAATGATGAAATTTAATTCTTTGTTATGGCTGAACAGTATTCCATTATGTATATGTACCACACTGTCTTTATCCATTCATCTGGTGACAGACACTTAGGTTGTTTCCATTTCTTGGCTATTGTAGGCAGTGCTGCAATGAATAAGCAAAGTGCAGACATCTAGTTGACATATGGACTTCATCTCCTTTGGATATATATGGGGTTGTTGGATCCCATGGTAGGTCTACTTTAAATTTTTTTAGGAACTTCCATACTGTTTTCCATAATGGTGGGGGTCCCCTCTTCTGCACATCCTTATCAGCACTTGTTAACTTCTCACTTTTTAAGATTATCCATTCAGGGACTGGGGATTTAGCTCAGTGGCACTGTGCCTGCCTTGCAAGCGCAAGGTCCTGAGCTTGATCCCTGGTTCATCCTGGAGTGAGGTGATATCTCATTGTGGTTTTGATTTGTATTTCTCTGATAATTAGTGGCTGAGCATTTTTTTCATACACTCAGTGGCCATTTCAATGTCTTCTTTGGAAAAATATCTATTGTATTTAGGTTTATTGCTCATTTAAAAAATCAAGTTGGGCTGGGGATTTAGCTCAGTGGTTTCACTGTTTGTCTCACAAGCACAAGGTCCCAAGTTTGATCCCTGGTACAAAGCAAAAAAATTCAAAATCAAGTTGTCTTTTTGCTATTGAGTTTGTTGAATTCCTTACATGTTCTAGATATTTAACATCTTGTCACAGCTATACTTTGCAAATATTTTCTTATTCTGTAGGTTTTCTCTTCATTGTATTTTTTTTTAACTCAGCAGAAGCTTTTTAGCTGATGTGATTGCATTTATCTATTTTTGCTTTTTATTTCCCATGTTTTTGAGGTCTTACCTAAAAAATCATCGTCCATTCCAATTTCCTGAAACATTTTTCTTATCTTTGGAGGAATTTTTAAAATGAAGAGTGATTTAGCAAGGACCATCATAACTAGAAAGTTATCTGTTTCCTAAGTACAAAGTTTATACACTGACTTTTCTTTTTCATTGTCCCCCCTTTTTTTGTGGAATGGGAGATTGAACCCAGGGATACTCTTGTCACTGAGCTCTATCGCCAATTCTTTTATTTATCTATTTATTTATTTATTTTTGGTACTGGGGATCAAACTTGGGTCCTTGAGCTTGTGAGGTAGGCGGCAGCACTGAGCTAAATCCCGATCCTTTTTATTTCTTATTTTAAAACAGGGTCTCAAAAAACAAACAAACAAACAAACAGGGTCTTACTAAGTCAGGTTGTCCTAGAACTTTTGATCCTCCTGCCTCAGCCTCCTGAGTAGCTGGGATTGCAGGCATGTGCCACCATCTGGCCCATGATTCTTCTTGAATCAGGACAAATCTATGAAAACATCTAGAACATAATCTAATCCCACAGACGTTAGAAGATGTTCATTCGCAAACACTTCTTTTTCTTTTTTTCAGAAGAGAGACAGGCCCAGAGATGTTGAATGGTTCATTTCAGATCAAATGGCAGATTAGGAACTCAAGCCTAGGTCTTATATCTCCTGCTCTAGCAGAGATGTGCATGTGCTAGATCAAATGGCAGATTAGGAACTCAAGCCTAGGTCTTATATCTCCTGCTCTAGCAGAGATGTGTGTGTGTGTGTGTGTGTGTGTGTGTGTGTGTGTGTATTTTAACTATAGCATATTGTCTTTCTTAACAGGAATCTTGTTTTTAAAGTCAAATGTCTATACAGAAACTCAGTGAAAACATATTATTTGGTTTAGCAAATTAATATTGCTTGCAGAGTGTTCCAACAGTCTTATAAGACAGTTTTCAGGAACAGAGTGCAGAGCACAGGTCTGCTGCCCTGCTCTTGTCAGAATTAAAATAGGTTTTATTCTGCTGCACATGGTGGCACATGCCTGTAATCCCAGCACTTGGGAGGCTGAGGCAGGAGGATCACTGTGAGTTCAAGGCCAACTTGGACTATATAGCAAGACTCTGTCTCCAAAAATTTAAAAATTTTTCCCTGGCTGGATCCAACACATCTACTTCCTGTTTTCTTTGCATAATCCATATTCCACAATATGGCAGAATGTGAGTCTGTGAGGTTCTTTTGCATTATCTCATTTCTGATTTATTGATTAATGAGCAGATGTCACTGGAAGTTAAGTTTTAAGGTCTTACATCGCTCTCCCTTAGACTTTCTAATACTGCAGGAAATCTACCCATGGCAACTCAAACAATTGATCTAAAATAATTTTGGAAGTTCAGCCCAGTTCAGCTGGACTTTACATACTGTTTACATTTGATCTTAGAGTTTACTTATATTCTTTCAACTGGCAAAGCTTAATATAAAATGTAGCTCTCACCTTTTGCTATTGATGAACTTACTGTCCCCTGCACTGGTATTCTTTTCCTCAGTCTTGAGGGAATTAAGTTATTAGAATTTTACAAATTTTTAAATTTCTCCCATAAATTTTAAAACTGTTGTTGTTTTTGTTTTTGTTTTTTTGTATAATATGCTACCTATGCTAGACCAGAATCTGGTATAAACTGGTTGTCTGGTTTAGCATTGAATTTTAATTTTTATTATTTGAAGTTAATACCTTCATATGTCACAATATTCTGCAAAGAATACGGCAACTTCTGGGTACTTCCGGATATACTGGAAAAAATCTAAATGTCACTGACTCATGACCAATTTTAAACAACCACATATACAATTGGAAAAGAATCATTATTAAATAAATGAGTGGAACAATTTGATATTATTATGCAAAAATACCATGTAAATTCAAACACTGTAACATTTGTCCTATATGCAGGGTACTTCACTGGATATAGTGAGGAAATCATATTGAAATAAAACAGAGGCCCTGCTCTTAATCTAGTAGAGGTCATTGAATCTTTTTTTAAAATTACTTTTACTGGTACATTTTGGATACACATAATGATCACATTCATCATAGGGAATTTATACCTGTACATAATATATCTTGATTCTTCTTTTTTCTCTAACTCCTCCCCTCCCTTCAACTCTCCCCCTCATTATTTTGTTGTTGTTAGAGCAGATCTCATCTCATTAACTCTGAGAAACCTCTGAGATTCTTGGGACTATTATAACGAATGAACATAATCCACATAAATGGATTTTTCTCCTGCTTCTGGACACTACAAGTCCAAATACCAAGCCGTCAGCAAGGCCACACTCTTTTCAAAGGCTCTCCTTCCAAAGGAGAGAATCTTTTCTCACATCTCACAGCTGCTAGTGGCTCTGGTCATTCCTTGGCTTGTGGCTGTATCACTCCAGTTTCTGTCCCTTTGTCTTCAGATGGCCTCCTCCATGTCTTTTACTCTTTTGTCTCATAAGGACACTTGTCATTGGATTTAGAGCTGACTTCATTATCTTGAATAATCTTCTCTAAAGATCCTTAATGGCAACTGCAAAGACCCTTTCTCTAAATAAAGTCAGAGTCACAGGTTTTTAAGAGTGAGGACATGGGATACTATCCAACAACCTACACAATG